TTTCCCAGAGGCAGAAAACAGGTGCTATTAAGAGTGTGTGTGTGTCAGTTTCTGAAGTCTGGGTTTTGTAAAACGAACCTAATAGTACACTTTATCTCTTATTGAAAATATTAAAACCAACAGAAATCTCTAAGAAACATTCAATTGAAGATAAACTGAAATCTGATCCACTGAGACACAAGCCTTGAGATTTTCTGGTCCTCTCAAACTCATCATAGGGACACATAAACATAATTGTAATCTCAAGACTGAATCATCAAAAGAGGCCATATGGTCGTTAGCTGAAGGAACCCTGTCCTGTCTTAGAGGGGTGCTGCTCTGTGTGACCGTTTAGTGCTTCAAACTCGTGAAACTATATTGTCAGTTTTATCAAACATGTTACACACACAGAATATTCAAGAAACAATACTAAGTAGTTTCTCTAAGAGTTAGTTGAGAAGCCAATTCACATCCTAGGGAAGATAATACATTTACAGAACAGGCAAGCCCAAGCACCGAATGAATGGCCATACATTTTGCAAGTTCATACTGGAGAATATTTTATACATGGGAGTCTCTCCCCAAGATATATCCTGCCATATGGTTCTTTTTTTCTAAGGAAAACAGAGAGGGAACTCATTTACAGTTCTTTGTGACCCATTCTCAGAGTGGCAGATAAACAGCATGAAAGAAAAAAATAAAAACCTGAAAGCCCCTTTTCATAAGTCCTCCCATCAAAGGAAGGTACTATAGAAGCAGATATGCTAGACTTACCATGAACCCTAAAAAAAAAGTAACATGATTATTAAGGAGTCAAAGCAAGATATGTTAATAATAAGCCTAGGAAACATTAGAATATTTGTTGATTTAATAGTACAGCAGTCAACAGGATCCTTTACGTAAATGTCAGTATCAACCAAGAATGGATGCACCTCATAAATGGCAAGAAAAAATATTAAAGAATGTGATGAAAACCTCAAGATGAGATATGAATAAGATATACATGCTTGTTTACTTATTTAGAATAAGGTATCTTTAAAATGCTGCAAAGAACCACCTCTGGTTTTATTTTATTGATTGATTGGTTGATTGACTGATTAGTGGTGCTGGGGTTTGAGTTCAGGGCCTCATGCCTGCTAGGCAGGTGCTATACAACTTGAGCCACTCCACCAGTCTCTTTTTGGTGTTGGGTATTTTTGAAATAGGGTCTCAAGAACTATTTGCCTGGGCTGGCTTTGAGCTGAGATCCTCCTGATCTCGCCCTCCTGAGTAGCTAAGATCATAGGTATAAGCCACAAGCACCTAACTTTTGAACATACTAGTTGAAAAGCTCACAAAAATAAAATAATGTTTGGCTTGGGTCTATATCCTGAACTTACTTTATCAAAATCTGACATGAAGACCATGCAATAATGACAGAATTTCCTTTATGAGTTTATCCAAGTATCAATCTTTACAGCTACTTACAGCTTCAGGTGTGTTTTTTGCTTTTTTATTTTCTTCCTGAAAACAAAAGTTATGCAAACATTTGGAAAACTGTTACATGGTATTTGGAAACCTATTGTGGGCTCTTTTCTAACAGCACATGTTGATGAAATGCAAACAAAATTAGATTTTACCCCTACTAGTGCTATAGAAGCTAAGGAACATTCTTGCTTTCTGCAAGCCCTGCCTGCTCATACAATTTATGTGCTGAATGTACACTAGAATATTCTTAATTTTAGTGCCCTGATTTTAGTGCCCTGTTATCAGGCAAACAGTACTACAGAAAACACAGTGGAAAAAGCTGGGAAAGGAAGATTCCCTTAGCACAGGCGATCTTACATGAGGTTTTAGCTTAAGTTTCTGTTTTATATCTATTTCACGTTAAGATATTTTATATATTTATAATTTCTTTGATGAAATTCTAATATGTAAGACAATGTTAATACTATCATTTAAGAGTCAAATCCTCTGAAAAATATTTTAGGAAATATTTTTGTACTGTAACACAGAGAGTTAAATATAGATTGTTCTCATTGATAAATAAGTGGTTTATTTGTTTGTACTTAAAATACTCCTAAACTATTTAAATAATCATAGAGAATGCATACCACATGCTTTTGTGTGCATTTTATTTCTTCTTTTGCATGCCAAGGTCCCTGAGAATAGGTTTACATGTAGTTCAGTTTTGTGTCTACAAAGTGCCTAGCATAGAATCCCCTGAAAGAGTAAATAGTCAAACAAATATTTGTAAAAATACATTCAGAAAAGCTTTTTTTTTTTTGAAAAGCATTCTTCATAAAGAATCCATCTTGTGTTCTCAATAAGTTATTCAACATAACGATATTAACTTGATCAAGTTACTGAGACTTCCCATAAATGTTCCCTGGTGTTTGTCTGAAAACTTTAATTGACCAGAAATAAACTAGTCTGTATTGCAATTGCTAAAAATTAGGTCAATCACCAAAACAATGTACAAGTGATTGTTAAAAATAAATTTGCATCAATTATATATTCAGCATAAAACTATCCTTTTTATGGTTTTGTCATGCTTTTAAGTGATTATTTATGTTTTCAACCATGACCTTAAAGCATCATCACTCGTATTAGCAAAAATCTAATATTTAGTAAGGAGAGTAAATTGGTACAGTTTAAAATTTTTTTTAAATTAAAGATGAAGACAAAAAAAGGGACTTTTGATTAGTCAGTTAGCAAAAAGATGCTCAATTAGCTATTAATAAACAATACCTGTAATATTTCATATAATCATGGTTGTATTTTATTATGAAAATATCGATACAACATAACTATAAACCATTAACCGTAAATCACCAGAGCCTCTCACCCTCACCACTACTCCTCCAGCTAATTTGGTCTCTATAGGATCACTAGAGGACTGACCCCGAAGGTTGAAAAACTTCCAGGAGAATCTTCTGCTCAGCCCAGAATGAAGTAACACTCCCTTTCCTTGGAGGCAGACCAAAAAAAAACCTCACAAAAATCTTCTCACAAGTCCTTTCAAAAACTTCTGATAACAACCCCATCCCACCCAATTCTGGCTCAGACATTCCTCGACTCCTTCCCTCTACCACACTTTGGTGACCCCCGCCCCATCTGTTCCTCTTCCTGCCCTGCTTGTCCCTCCATCCCACTCTGGAGAATCTCCCCAGTCCTCTTCATGTCTACTTCGGTCTGATTAAGCTTCAGTCTAATGTATTGCTCTGGCATATCAATCATTTCAACTGCATAGATTCCATGTAGCAACCTCTCATAATCTAGGAGGATGTAACATGAAGCTCAAAAAAAAAAAAATCCACAAAGATGGCAGTGCATGTCATAAATAAATGGCTACTTTGTCTTGCTGTCTATTGTTTTTTTTTAAAAAAAAAGACACTCCTCAAATAACTTTTAAATTAGAAATGTATCCAAAAATAGCTGGTGATTATTTGGGGAGTCTATTTTTAAAGCAATTTTGAAATAATTATATCTGAAGAAAACTTGATAATAATTTTTTTTTTTTTTTTTGCTAAGAGTTGGGTTTGAACTTGCTCTTCACACTTGCAAAGCAGACACTCCACCATTTGGATCATATCTCCAGTGCATTTTGCTCTGGTTATTGTGACTAGAGCAACTATTTGACCTGGCTGGTCCTGAACCACAATCATCTCAACTCTCTGCCTCCCAAGCAGCTAGGATTACAAGCCACCAGAACCTGGCTCTTGGCAGTGTATCTTATTTATTGAGAACCTATGCGTGCAGATCATTGTGTATGGCATAGTCAGGATACAAAGATGAATACAAAGACAAGCTACGTACCTAAGTAATCACAACTGAAGGAAGAGAACACAATGAAGAAGCAGAAACGTGTAGAACAAGTGTTATAAGGCTATCAAAGCGGATCACACGGTATCTGGGTGGCCTTGAAAGATCTGAGGCAGATAGTTGGTGGAAGGGATTGAAAAAAAATTGTGAGAAACAGAATGTCACAAAGGTGGGAAATCACAGATCACACTAAGAGCACTGTCATTAGTCCATGCTGGTCAGAAAACAGGGTAAGTAAAAACAGTGCTCTGCATGCTGAACATGCTGGGGTTTGTGACAAACTCATGAAGGCAAGGAATGAAACCACAGAAATGGAACAAATGCCAGAGGAAAAAGAGAGGCAAAAAGAGGAAAGCCAAGAACTGGAGGTCTACTGCTCAGGAAGAAATGGAACAACTGCTGAGTATCATATTCTCAGCCACTGTTCATCTAATCAAATGAATAAACCACTCATTACCTTAAACTCTAAATGTATCGGTGTCTGGGAACTTTTAGCTATCACTCAAAGGCATTTCCTATTCTGTTGACGATACACTACTTCCATGGTTTAACTCCTACATAAAACTGAATTCTGTAATTAATTTCTAAACAATAAAAGAGAAGTCAGGAAGTCTGTTTAACTCTAATTCACACAGACAAAAAGGCCTTCGTGAAAACCTGTGCATGAGGTGCACAGACCTACTGGAAATTCAGGTAAGACCAATAAAACTTTATAGGCAGCTTTTCCCATCAGACTTAAAGAAAGAAGAAAACTGGTGAATACTCTGCATACCACTTGCTGACCTTGGAGGGCAAAACAGTGCCTTTTAATCATCTTTGAATCGCAACACTTCAGTGTATTACTTGACACTTAGGCTTCAGATAAACATTTTATGAATGAGAAAAGGTAGAGACAGTACTGGTGAAACAACCAGTAATTCAGATTTACATAAAAAAGGTACGTCCTAGATTCAATTATAATACAGTGTGCTCACAAATGATCTCTCAAATTGTATTCTTAGAAACCGTGAGCCACCACAGAAGACTAAACTATATTCTCTATGCTGTATTTCTAAAGTTAGGGCCAGATAATATATACAAATAGATATTTTAAAATAATTTCAATAGGCAATATTTCACTTTACTTCAAAATTAATGACCTAGAATATATAAAATATTCTTTGAATATTTTACTTAATTGATATTTTAAACTACATACTGAATTGCAAAAGCTCTAATTTTGGCAATTTTCATAAGGAATGCCACTGTTCAGTATGTAGACTTATAATAGTGGGCTCCCTGATCAGGCAGAAAGAAGATTCTCAGTACCTTTATGGTCTCAGTAGGCACTCCAGGCTCTGGAACTTTATCCAAGTAAGTGGTCAAGTCTTGATCAACATGTTCAAACACTAGTGTTAGTTTGGTTTCTCTGTCTGTTCGTGACACTGTGCACACATCAAACAACCTAGAAGGAAAAAGAAGGAGATTAAGTAGAGGGAAATAAGCAAAGAACTAACCTGTATGTCTTACACATATATCTCAATTTTATCACACGATAGTGTAGAAGGACCAGCATATACCACTCCTGTGATCATATGTGAACACAACTAATGGAATCTGATACTTTAATATTAATATGCAAGTTTAGAAGAGGAGGACATGAGCACTTGCTTAAGCAGAGAGAACATTCACAGTAACAAAGGCAAAGCAACATGGCGGGAGGACAAGACCCCCTTGCTTAGACTTTCCTGAAGCTAAGATCTGAGATCTCCATCTACGGATGGAGACAGTTTTAAACTTGTAGTCCAGGCAAAATATGCTTCTTCTTAGCTCACAGTTTGAGAATTATTAGAGAAAAATTAAACATTCTTTGGAGATTCTGGACTCTGCCAATGAAGATAGGAAAGGAATTTAAGGTGCCATGACCATGCCTGTGAACACAATGATGATGAAATATGGAGAATTTTACTCTCAGACAGCCTTCTTAATGCTGATGAATAACATGACTGCCCTGCTCACGGCATAAATTCTTAATTAGTTCTGACATTCCAAATATGTTAATCCACATTGTGACACGTTTAAAATGCTTTTTAAATTTATTTTTAATTGACAGATAGTAATTGTATGTACTTACGGGGTACAATGTAATATTCTGATATACTGCTTAACTATTATATAGAATCTGACTAAGGCACTAAGAATTTTTAAATTGCTGAAAGAGTAGATTTTACTTTTTTTTTTTTTGGTGGTACTGGGGTTTGAACTCAGGGTCTCATGTCTGTTAGGCAGGCACTCTACCTCTTGAGCCACTCCGCCAGCAGTAAGAGCAGATTTTAAATGTTTTCAGAAATCACAAAAAATGTTAAGTATGTAATACAGTAGATTTGTTAGTTTGATTAAGTCATACTTCAATGTAAATGCTGTGAAATTTTAAAATTTCTTTTGAAATAAAAAAACAGACTATATTGTCCTTCAAAGATAAAAACACAGATTAATAAACATTATAATTAAGTTTGGATCAGTAAATCCAGTTTTTCCCATAAAATCTTAGAACAAATTCACATTTTAAGTTTTTGTTTTGTTTTTTCCCTAAAAAAGTGATCTTTCAGTAGTCAAAAGAATCTTCAAGCCCAGGGACAAAACATCCTTTAGTTTTAACTATAGCACGCTCCCTGGCATAGGGATTCTCAGCAAATGTTTGAAGAATTAAATAAATCAGCTATATAAAGAAGCTGTGAATGGATGTCTTGATAACAATGTGTTATAAACACTGAAAAGAAGCAAATAAAGTACTATTCAAATTCTTTTTTTCATTTAAACAATTGAATAAACACCCTCTTCAAACAAACTAATTGTGGATGTGTACAAAGCCCAATTACTAAAATGCAGGGTTCACTCTCACTTGTCCAGTTTGTGTATTATTTTAATTAAATTTTAAGGCCTAGTTGGTTTACCATGCTACCCTACTATATTTCTGGGCTATCTGGGCCCCCCAACATTTGGTATTTCTCAGTGAATCTAAACTAAGTTTTAATAGAATCTAAAGACCACTGTAATTAATTTAAATCTCATGGGGCAAACAACAAAATGCCAACAACTATATAAGCCTCTCAGCCACAGCCAAACTACTATTTAATAATGGGCAGTTTGAGGTGCATTCTACAACAATATTAAAATTGACCAACCAACTCAGCATTCTTCTCACATCTATATACTTACAAATATTTTTACATTTTAATACTTACTTCTAAGCTTAATACCTTTTCCCTAATGTGACTCATTCTGGAAAATTATTTTGAAGCATAAATTCCTATTTATAACTTCATTAAAGATAGTGTCGTGAATCATATAAATCCCATACAAAAAGCATAATTGCTGTCATGCACAGGTTTATACTTGGGAAGTTTATCAACAGCTCTTTGAACTTGATAATTTGAGGTAACTACTAGTTATTCATAGGTTCATGGACTGCACTTTTTCCTTTCTTTGAATGAAAAAGAGTCTGACCCAAGCTCCTTTAAATCGGTGGCTTCTATTTTTGCAATAAGACAGCAATGAAACAAAACTAGCATATACTAAAATCAAATACAAATCAAATCAAATACAAAGAAAGAAAATAGAATATACTATGCCCTTTATAGCTGTACTTCTCAAACATTACCTTAAAAACCTTTCCCATTTTTATAAACACATTTCCTGAATGGAAAAATACACTGCTCATTATTGTCTGTGTTGAACAATGACTTTAGCAACTCTAGTACTCAGTCGCACTTTTAGCTTCTTTAATATAAACATAGATTAGAGAGAGATTATATAGGTATAGATACAGATTTCATATATATTAAACTAAAAGTGCAATATATGCAACATTTTGGTAATTTCCAAAAGATAAAATATTTTGATGGGGACATAACACTGCTGAATCAAAAGGTTATGTGTTCCCCAAACCGTTGTCTTAGGAGTTACCTAACAGCCCTGGCAGTACACTATATTGCTTCATCTTACTGAACCGTTTTTTAAGCTCTCTTTGCATGACACAATACATGAATAACATCAAGTTGATTTTCTCAAAGTTATATAATATTAAAATTAGCTGATGCTACTTACAGAATTTCTCCTTAGAAATTCAGAACCAGCATTGAGGGAAGTAAATGCCCTGAGAGTACCTCTAAGGCACCTCTTCCCTTTTTCACTCTAATGCTGGCCATTGACAACCTACAGACTCATTACCTCTGGGAAAATACTGCTCTCCACTAAAATATGAAATTTTGTTTGAGTTAATTGTTTAGAAAATACCACTGTAATAAAAGTTAACAGTTATGTTAGTCATAATGGGCAGAAAATGCATTTTAAGTCAACAGTTGTTAAGTATTAATCTTAGAAATTTTAGAACATAGTATTTGTGATGGTTTTCCATATGTCTGCCTTTAGAATGATCCCAAATCAAATAATAGTTATTTTGGTGGGAAATATGATGTAGATACTTGAATATTGAGAAAGGATTTCACAAACACAAAAAGCAATTGAGCTAAACAAGAACTGAAATGCCCAATATTTGGTTGGAGGTTCATCTGTAAAATATTATATAAATCAATGAGAAATGTGGCTAGGCTGCCTATAGTCCTTACACTTAGAAAACAATAGAGCAAGACAGGTCTGAACACTTGAACATAAACACTGGAAAGTAACTTCTACTCCATGATTCCTCTTGACCAACATTGTATATGACTTTCTAAAACTGTTTTTAATAAGTTTTTTTTTGCTAGCTATTCAGTACACCAACAAAAAATATCATTTTACTGACTACACTTTCAGTGCAGTTCTACAAGGAAACTGTAATCATACTGTATGAATATGAAAAAATATCTCTCAGATGACCTTCAGAGGAAAACTGCCACTCAATATTTACCCACTAGAGCTTCATGTAATACGATCCAAGTGAATGCCGATTCAAAAAGTAGGAAGAAAAAGTGGTTCTCAGTATTTACTAAGGCTGTACATTGAGTTTAGCTGTGTAAATGCAATCCAAAAGGCAGATAGGCCGTTATCATTGCACAGTGAAGTCAGCCAAGCCCTAACTATTCATAAAGCACGTTCTCTTGCTGTCTGTTGCCCTGACCCTCCAGCTGCAGGGCAGAGAACAAACTCTGCAGTCCAGCACAGTGCTCAGCTCTCCAGCTGTCCCAGTGATGTAATTATGTCATAACAAAATATCTCCCTGAATTAACTCTGCATCGTACCTATTGTAATTCTGAATGACTGCTTCCTGTTCATGTTCTCAGTTTAACTTGCTAGCCAGCGTCTATTGCATAGGTGAGCTGCCTTCATCTAATGGATGGGATTATATCCAATAGGTTTGGGATTTCCAAAGATTACAATTTACAAGTCTCCCAACCAACATGCTTTATAAACACAATCCCTGCCTTTCTCTTGTGGTTACAATAGAAGAGAAAGATGCATTATTTGCTGTGATTACACTTTGATCTGTTACACAAAGATCTATGAGGATTTTTTTCCTGTTAGTATGTTTTTAAGGTTATGTCTGACACTGCTGCCTTAGTGCCACAACAGAATTTTATTTGAACTAGAGCCATTATTTGCAACAGGGAAGATTTTTTCTTCTGTATCTAATCTCCTCGGAAGTCTAGAAAGCACATTCTATAGGTATGGCTTGTATGTACCAAGCTGATGTTCACTAGCCCTATACCACTGGACACTGGCCAGGGTATACTCTTTTTGCTCATTAAGGACTGTGTGTATACAAATTCTCCATCAACACTAAATGACAGAGTTCCATAGTATTGGCCACCAACAATAATAAGCATGCTGCTAGAAGATAAGCAGCATCCCACAACATTTATCAAAATCAACCATGTGCAGATGCTATACTCAGTTTTAGAATCTGCAACAGACATAAGACAGGTATTGTCTTTAAGAGCTTTATTATCTGGGCTGGGGGCAAAGTTCAAGTGCTACAGCATTGCCTAGCAAGTAGGAGGTACTGGGTTCAATTCATAGTACCACCAAAAAAAAAAAAAAGGAGGAAGGAGGGAAGAGGAGGGGGGGGGGAGTATAGCTTTATTATCTAGCTGTGGGATAGAATACTTAAAAATACAAATAATTATATACACCTACGTGCTAGTATGAGATAAAACACCACGTGCAACTTGTCTCATTAGAATGAATTCATTCTACATCTTATCACAGTAGACTACGGTGTCCCTCTTTCTCCAGCATCCATTTACCTCTTCTGGAAGCCATACTCTCCCTTACTTTTTGTTGAGAAGTCACTCCTGCCCCATATTCATCCAATATAGTTTTGAGGATAGAGACCCAGCGATGGCATGTGACCAACCCTGGATAAACAGAGTGACAACGATTAAGGGATGGACAGGACCATGAGGTCAGTCCCAGGAATTTTGCTAGAACTTCTGGGAGAGTAAAGCTTCTTTATTCTAGGATTAC